AAATGCTCAAGTGCTTGTGTCTGGTCGTTGTGACTAATCCACTCTCCAGAACAAGAAAGGTCAAATGAAGAACAACCCTCCAAGTACTGCAACAACTCCTAGCCATGGCTGATGTATAATACACTGAGACATGGTGTCAACAGCTGCTCCTAAACCCAGTGAGTCAGCCTTTTGAAAGAGCTTGTCAGCTCTCACTGTTAGAGCTTTCATACAGATTATATTTACTCCCCAATGTTTAAAAATACCCTTCATAAACCTTGAAATCATAGAATATTTTCTTTACAGAATTTATCCTTTTACCCCTTTTGCCCAAGGGTATCTCTCACATAGTTATTTATGAGAGGAACTTCCTAGCTCCTCTTCCTTTCACTTTCCTCGTCACGTGCTGACCAGCTAAGCAAAAGGCAGGCCTCTATTTCTGAAGTCATGTACCAATGAAGAATTTCTGGTCCCTTTCACCTGCAAACCACAGTCAGCCTTTGAGGGTGCTGGGAGGGTAAGTGTTCTGCTCAACAGACGGGGTACAGAGATGTTGGGTGACTTGCCTTTGGTCCTACAACAGGCATGCAGGCACAAATCCCTCATCCATCCCCTACTCTAATCACCAATCTCCCTTGGATGCTGTCATTTAAATAAAAAGGCCTATTGGAAATGACAGGTGAAGAAAGCAGTCCAGGCATGAAATGGACTCTAAAGTATATTAATAGAAGGTTGCCAGACAAAACGGCACAAGGCATTTGATCGCATCATCTTAGGCTTGTTGTTCATGCTCCTTTGCATCTGGCTGCGTGATTTCTGCCAGATTCTCGGCTGGAGGAGCAGGCTAGGATTTGCCTGCTTTCCCTAACCCGTGCCGGGCTCAGCTGCAATCATGCAGAGCACTGAAAGAAATCCCTTTGAGTCGGGATTCATTCCGAACATGTAAAACCCAGACAAATGACTGCTTCTCCAAAGTGAATCCCATTTCACAGCAAGTAGGTTATTAGTGTGGAACTCCATACAAGTAGCCAGCATTCAAAAGCCCTCTGCATTATTAATAGAAGATGAGCTTTTGACATCAAAGGAGAACCATTATGTATGCTAAACGGTGGCAAAAATTGTACCCGCACTTCAAACCTTTTCAGTTCTTTGTCCCTCGTAAATCAATCAAGGTTGACAGATGCTTTAAGGAGCGTAATCTTTTCAATGATACTGTCAATGGATAACATAATGGAACATTGTCTCTGTGCTGTGTGAAGACATGGAGCTAGTCAATTATGGACAACACTTCATGCAGCCGCCAGTTTTCACTTGAAGTGCTGCTGTTGAAGTATTATAATCCCAACAAATGGCCGCAGCAGCATACAATGTAAATGAGACCTCCCGAAGCTTTGGAAAATTAATTAGTAACAACAGTAGTCCATTCCCACACTTTCAAACACCAGCCTGGTAATGTTAACGATGCACTTCCCCCCTTCCCTCTGAGCAGTCAATAGGGCATATTTACATACACTATTTTTAATCTTCAACACTTTTCCCTCCACCTCCCCTTTTAAATGCAGGAAGCTCTGGATTCCTCTCCTCTCTTCGAGCAACAGACTTCACCCCTGATATTTCCAACCAGTCACATAACCCACATGGCAGGAGCTGAAAACAAGAGAACAGAGACTTTCACACTTGGAGACAGTAATATTCACTCCTCTTGCTTCACAAACATCAGACACTCTGTGGCTGTCTCCTTTTCCAACACTTCTGTCCCCTCAGCTGCCTTGAGCATGGCTTGGATGGATGGCAGGAGAAAAGCTTCTGGTCTCAAGAGACCAGGAGGATGGAAGTTGAAAGCTCGATGTACTGAGTGCCAGCAGCACCGAAGGTGAAACTGTGGTGCACTGGATACCAACATAGATACATCCGATTGCCAGCCTTTACAGAAAGGAGTCAAAGGGGAGAGACTGCGCTGTTTATTTAGCTATTGTCTTCTATTTCTTACGTCGTTTTCTCAAAGGTTTTCCCTTTGTCAACCGAGGCTTACACTAAGAGGAACACTTAATCTCCCACAGTAACAGAGAGAAATCCCACACTTGAGCACAAAATTTCTAAACTCCTATCAATTGCAGGTTTTCATTGCTATGATCTGCAAACACCTCCTTATCTATAATGTGTTTTTGAAACTACCAGGTGCAGATAAGGAACTCAATCACTGAGGTCTTCTCGGACAAGAACAGGCTGTTCCTATAACCCAACTCCCTCTTGCCCAGGCTCCAAACAGCTGGGAACAGATACATTTGCTGGCCCTCCTTGTTTAGTATGGATTCAGTCTCTGCCCTCTGGACAGTTTTCTGAGAAGCACTGTCAGTGGTTGACCCCAGAAAGCTTTACAATGCAGCAGTCCCCTGAACCCCCAAAACCTACGGCTCATGGTTAAACAATACTGTGAGGCAACAGCAGCCACACATCCTCCCCAGGCATTACCCAGCCAGCTGCCACTGCTGATCCCAAGAAGAAAAGGGAAATGTAGGTTTACTAGAGGAATAGAAAAGGCAGAGGAAAGGAAATCTTCTCCGTAGCCTTAGGAAAATCAGAGACTGATGCAAAGTTTTTCCCACTCTTGCATAAAACAAACTACCATAGCATAGAGAAAAAGACAGGAATCGGGAGTTTTTAATTCATCTTTCTTTTTCTGGAACAGATCTATCAAGAAAACAGTGGCCCAACTGGATTTCTATACTCGCTTCCTACTGAAAATCCACAGTGCAATATGCACAAATACAAGACAAAAGGATTCTCTACTGCATGTTTTTCCCACTCTTGCATAAAACAAACTACCATAGCATAGAGAAAAAGACAGGAATCGGGAGTTTTTAATTCATCTTTCTTTTTCTGGAACAGATCTATCAAGAAAACAGTGGCCCAACTGGATTTCTATACTCGCTTCCTACTGAAAATCCACAGTGCAATATGCACAAATACAAGACAAAAGGATTCTCTACTGCATCTTGATGAGAAAGCTTTTGGCT